GGCTCAGAGAGTGCAACCGGCTGTGTTTGCTAACCAGAGCAGAAATTAACTGTTTGTCCACCATCTTCATAATCAACCCCTCCCATTTCTATCCACCCAAAATACAGTATAAATACCTACAATCTGTTACACACTGCACGTGCATTCCTTGTTTCTCAAACACTACACACAAAGGCATCTTTCTTTTTCTCAATTGGTGGCTTTTCTTTCAAAATAGCAGTTAAAAATAAAGCTGTGAGCATGTTAATATTTGTTGATGTCTTGTACTGTACACCAGTGCTTGAATTGGAATGAAAAAGGTGCCAGTACTCTAAAATCAGCAACTTTTTCAAGTCAATTTTATATATACAGCCCACAAACAAGAATTTGGCTACTATAATGCTGGTGGGTTTGTCTCTTTACTACTGTATATTTTAGAAAGGTTCACTGTACTTAACATTTTTTATGATAGGCAGCGGATATGGCTAAAGCTCAGTAAGGTCAATATTAACTGAAAATATAGCAATCAAAGTCTAGATCTTCTGCTGAAGACACATGAAGCAGAGACCTTTCAGGTGAGAGCCCCTCTGGTGGTGTTCAACATTAATGACAAGGAAACAAAGCTCTGGTCAGAAGCATTTTTTATAAAAAGCTTTAACAAAATTAAGTATTTCTGTACATTTTGAATGCAATCTAACTTTCCAACTCAGAAAACGAAAAAGGAAAAAGTGCCAAAAGTCTTCTCACATGGCTGAGCTGCTTTGCAATATACTTCACCACTGAAGAATACAAATATGTATAAAGTAAACTATGATGCAATCTAACTTTCCAACTCAGAAAAATGATAAAGAGCATGAACAAAGAACATGTAAAAACAAATGCAAAATTTGCACAATCTAAAATGAGAAACTGTAACTGCAAGTAACAAAGTCTGAGCCATGGTAAAGAGTTACATTGAACACCAAGCTGATCAGATAACTCCCTGGTTGGTCTGAAGTCCTTCTATCTCCAGGATCTGTACAAATCGGCACATTATGCCAAAAGTCTTCTCACTGGGTGAGCTGCTTTGCAATATACTTCACATTGTTAGAAAAGGCTCCAGAAGGCCTTGGGGACATCAGTATCAGGGGCTGGAGCTGGACAGGCTCTTTCATCAGCACTTCTCCTTCCCTTTGCCAGCCAGGACCTCACATACTGTTCCGGATTGAACTGTCCTAGTGATGGTCCAATACATTTAATGAAAACCAGGCTGGACAGTCGGCTGACAGAGAGAGCATTCCTTTTTGCAGTAAGGATATCGTTCATGCAGCTGAATGCCCGCTCACACTCACTAGTGGAGACAGCGATGGTTCGGACTGCTTTCAGTAGAGGCTCCATGGCAGCAGGTGTACGGGATGCCCTGGTTTCCTTGTATTCGCGAAAGCCCTGAACAGTCTCTCTTCTGTCCACTTTCAGCACTTCGCACAAACGTAGCACCTCTACGTCCCCATACTGTACGTCTAACTCCTCTTCAGGCCAACTTCCAGGATGGATAACTTTCATGTCCTGGATTAGCTGATTGTCCCGGGCCTCCCGGCCATGTAATGGGATTTCTCTTGTGCTGACATGAGAGGAGGTTGTGGAAGTCATTCTGTGTCTCAGATTCTCTACCATACTGCGGAAAAACTGACCTGCATGAATCTGTACAAGCCTGCCATTCTCACGCAGGGCAACACCCTTGAAGGACTTCTCAGCTAGAGCTGTATGAACTGTAGTCATGTGTGGGCCAGGCATGGTGACCATGGATTCAAAAACTCGTATTTCTCGAGTTAAGAGCCTATCTGCTGTAGGCAGTGTCATCTCTCTTTTTTGGAGTTGCCGAGAGAGGTCGCTGAGCTCTGTGAGCGCATCGTACATCAGTCCCAGATTGCTGACAAACGTTGCAGATGTGAGCACATCATCCAGGCCCTTGTACTTTGCTCTGTCTCTGGAATCCCTGCTCGTGTCGTTTGCAGCATTTGTGAAGTGATCATGAAGCACTCGGTAGTTTTCCCAGACTGCTCTGACGCTCCTTTAACTTGAAGCCACCCAGCGGATGGACAAAACACGCCCTATCACCAGGAGACGCTGTCCGACTGCTTGCGCACACTGCGCTAACTGCCTCTGATTTTTGGGGGAGGCATGGAACAAGGAATAGAGTTTGTCAAAAAAGATCTGGAAATGATTGAGCCCTGAGACCTCCTTGACCACATCCCCAACTGCCAGCTCTAGACGATGATTGGAGCAGTGCCACACAAACAGGCTTGGGAATTTACTACACAACTGGGTAGCAACGCCTGTTCTCTTCCCTAGCATGACTGAAGCCCCATCACATGCAAAAGAAACGAAACACTGACCTAAAAAGTCCTCGTTAAAATCTCTTCCAAGACACTCCATTAACGCCTTTGTGATGTCATCAGCCGTTGTTCCATCCAACTCGATCAGCTCCCAAAAAAACGTTTCGGGCTCAGCATCAGCTAATGCTGAGCGTAGACACACAACAAGCACCGTTTTACCACTAATAGTGGTAGATTCATCGACCAAAACACAGAGTTTTCTTTGGTTTTCTGTAATGTCTTTTGCCATTTTTTTCTTCAGCTCATGAGCTATGTGGTCGATGATTTCGCCACAGGTTTTATTGGAGTGCAAAACCCTGCCCACGTTCAGCCCATTCAGTTTCTGTACATTCAAATCAATTGGCATGTCTGTGAATGGCCGGCTATGTTTGCCAATTTTATATGCCGTTCGAAAAACTCTGATAGTGGTGTCTAATTCATATTTATGCATAGACTGCACTTGATGTTGAATAGTTTCACGTGAAGCAGATGTAAGGATGTCAGCAGCTTTTACATGGGCTTGTGATTCTTTATGTTCTTTGATTTTTTTTTCTCAGGCTAGCTTGTTGTTTGCCCTTGTCAACACCGAAATGAGACACTGCACACTCACCCCATTCAGTTGACAGTTTCAGTCCTTGTCCAGTGTGTATTCCCAAAGATTTGACATCTCTGCATATCCGACATCCTAGCTTCTTATCTTTAAGAAGGAGCCATGCATTGGTCTTGCAAAAATATTGCACCTGGTCCGTTGTCCAGCAGTCAGGTGCATCGCTTTGCCCGGTGTTGGTGGTGGCAGTTGCGCCAGCAGCAGCTAACTTTAGAGGCTCTGGAGGAGGCGGCGGAGCTAGTGCTAATGCTAATGCACTAGAACTTGGAGCAGGAGGATCAACCAAAGAAAGCTCCCCATCAGACACAATTTCCAACACAGGCACAGCATTCTCTGTATTTGAAGTTTCTTCCGGCGACAACCGCTGTCTTTTTGCACTTTTATTAATCCACGCTAACATTTTAGAAATGCTAATTTGTGACGTGACTTGCTTTCCTTCTCTCGGGGGCGTGCCTGCTCTGTTCTATCACTCTACATAGCCACCCACTGGGTGGGAGTTGCACTGCATAAACACAACACACGTGCATCTAGGTATGTCAATTGTAAAGCATTAAAACATGGTTTTACTAACAGTTTTCAGTATGTTGTTACTTCGGCATTATTATTATTATTATTATTATTATTATTTTGAAACGTGTATTACTATTAAATCACGGTCAAATAGGTTAATTTTGACATAGTCGTTTCCACCACAGTATTTACATGGAGAAGATAAGCCCCGCCCCCTCTCCAGCACGTTCTGTTTGAATGACAGGAGTAAACAGCTGACAGCCGCTGTGAAACTCCAGCGGTTAGAGCGATGAGAATGTCCGTTCGGCACCTCATGACGCATCTACTGAGTACCGGGCGGCTGTATATATATATATGGATGTATAATAAGAACGGCGGGAGAGTGTTGAGTACTGGCACGGTGCATGAGTACCGGAGTACCGCCAGCATGCCGGTACTGAGCAAGAAGTGCCGGTACTCCATGGGTCAGAACCAGAAGTGCCGGTACTGCGTACCGGTGAGTACCGGCCCAATTCCAGCACTGCTGTACACATCAGTCAAATGCAGACACAGTGATTACTTGTGTCAGGTTGGCATTAATGAAAGCAGGTTTTCTCTCTGTTTTCAGCGCCGGTTTTCCCACCACCGCATACAAGACGCCAAAAATATATATAAGCTCTTGTTTATATGTCATATATTTAGGCTTGGATTCATTGAGTGCCACAGAGTTTTCCAAAAGCTGCTTCTTCAATAGCAACTTTTGTATTCAGCCTAATTCAATAGTACAACATCGTCACTCATGTCGCCAAAATGGACAACAAGGAACAACTCTGCAGCTACCTGAGCTTTTCCCGCCTTTTTTAGCTAACGGTAAAGCACACTAACTATATTGTTGTGGTTTTAGTACTCCATCAACCTTTGTAAGCAGCTTCTGTTGTCAAAAAAGGCTAACTAGCTTTACTAAAAGCTGCCCAGTGAAAAGCTAGTAAAAAGGAAGAAAGCTAACTATGCAGAAATGGTATTAGTTGAGGCGTGTTAGCCTTAATAAGCTAATATATATAAGTGTGGTTTGATGCTGTCTGTGTTTCTGCTAAGCGACTGTTACACAATTGATTCACACTTTTAAAAAATCCAACTAAAAGCTTTTAAAACGACAACAAAGAACATTGACAATGCTTTTCACAGCAGAGCCCTTCTGTGTAACTGTGTAAATTAAAAAAGAATATATAAATGCAATTATATTGTAATTTACATGAGATAATGCTCTTCACATTAGCAAAGCAAAACCTGGTTTTTCAAACAAATGTTTTTGCTTTTAATTGCAATTTTTTCTCTGAATTGTGGATTTGGATATAACATCATATTGTAAAACAATTGATCAAGTGTGTCTTGATGTCCACACATTTGGTTCTCATTGAATTACCTTTTATTGTACCTCCATACTATACTTAGTTTTTAAATTAATTGTTATTATTATGCTATTTTATAAGAATGAAATGGACACAACTGTAAGTGCAACAGCAAAGCACGGTGAAATGCGACATTCAAAAGATAGAAAGACATAACAAATATTAAAATGTAATATATTTATTTAAACATTTAAAGTCCAATTAAATACATACAAATACGTCAACAGTTTGAAATAAACAGAATGACAGACTTAAAATAACATTTAATATATTTATTTAGAAATAGAAAACAGATATACAGACATCCAATAAAGTTATAAACATATAATAAGGAGAAATACGTAGAATCACAGACATAACATATAATAATAATAATGACAATAATAATAATAATACACAATAATAAATAGTAACACATAATAATACATCATTATCAATCATAATAATACATAACACCTAATTATCAATCATAATAATACATAACACATAATTATCAACCATAATAATACATAATAACACATAATAATACATAACACATAATTATCAATCATAATAATACATAATAACACACAATAATACATAATAATAATAATAATAATACTTTCAAATGTAATTATCTTATTTGTACAGGTGGGATGAAATGCTAATTAATGCCCAGTGTGGAAAAAATAAGTCATTTTAAGCCCAAGTGACAACAAACCCTCCCTCAAGCGGAATAACTCTCATAATAATGATTTAACCAGGCAACGATCAGTGTCTAATGGGCCTAAAGAAGAGAGGAAGTGCTCTTTAAAAGGAAGCCAGTGTGTCCTCCTCTCTCCTGGGATACAGCTAACAATCATGCTGTTTACATTTATACTTTTACACTAAGATTTTATATAAAGATGTCCGCCTGCGTTCTTCCCCGTCGTTCCTTCTAGTGTCGGCGCTCTCCCCCGTAGTTTTGGCTCTCCCCCGTAGTTTTGGCGCTCAACACCATCGAACTTGGCGCTCTCCCGCGTCGTTCTTCTGCGCTCTCCCATTGCTGACATCAATACTCACCCATTGTCGTCTGCGCTCTCCCCCGTCGTTCTTTCTGCACTCTTACCTGTCGGGCGTTGTAGCTCTCCCCCGTAGTTTCGGCGCTCTCCCCCGTAGTTTTGGAGCCCTCTCCCTTGTAGTTTCAGTGCTCTACCCCGTAGTTTCAGTGCTCTCCCCCGTAGTTTTGGAGCCCTCTCCTTTGTAGTTTCAGTGCTCTCCCCCGTAGTTTCAGTGCTCTCCCCCGTAGTTTTGGAGCCCTCTCCCTTGTAGTTTCAGTGCTCTCCCCCGTAGTTTCAGTGCTCTCCTCCGTAGTTTCGGCGCTCTCCCCCGTAGTTTCAACTCTCTCCCTCGTAGTTTCGGCGCTCTCCCCGTGGTTTCAGCTCTCTCCCCCGTAGTTTCAGCGCTCTTGTAATTTCAGCCCTCCCCCCCTTAGTTTTGGCGCTCAACCCCATCGGACTTGGCGCTCTCCCCCTTTAATATCTCCCTCTCTTGACACACCTGGGCTCCTCCTCCCCCTCTGGAGGATCCCCAGGGCGTCGCTTTCTCTTCCTGGTGCTCACAGACGAGCCTTCTGTGGGATAAAAACGTTTAAAAGTTTTAAAAACCTCCAGACAAATTACTGATTTGTAATGTATACAGGACAGTAAAGGAAAGTAACTAAGTACATTAAGGTACTTCATGTTGTACAACTTTATACTTCTACTCTACTGTATTTTGGAAGCAAGTATTATACTTTTTACTCATCGGCATTTATTTTATTTGACAAATTGACTTACTAGATACTTTTAAAAATTACGATTTTGCAATACTTAGGAAAAACTTATAAAATATGATTATTTGGTATCGAATATATTTAAGTAACTCAAGGCTGGTGAACTGAACATTTATTGGCAGCAATTTAACTTCACAGTCCCAGCTTCTTAAATGGGAAAGTTTGCTGCTTTTGCTTTAAAATATTAAACAAATATTTCACATTATAGGGAGGCTGTGGCGCAGTGGCCTAGTGTGTTGGTGTTCGGATCAGGGGGCACAGGTTCAAGTCCCACTGCAGTCAGCATGTCGTTGTGTCCCTGAGACACTTCACCCCAAATTGCTCCTGTGGGGATTGCCCTCAGTATCGAGTATGTAAGTCGCTTTGGATAAAAGCGTGACATGTAATGTAATTATGTTCTGCAATGAGTTCATTTACTCCTAACACCTTAAGTACATTTTCCTAATCGTACTTAAATTCTACTTGGGGACGATTCTCGATGCGGTACTTTTACTTGAAATGTAGTACATCTAAAGTGTAGTATTAGTACTTTTACTCAAGTAAAGAATCTGAATACTTTTCCCACCTCTGAAACAGGACAAGGTTAATCAATTGAATACATCTCAAAGATGAGCTTACGTGTGTTTGTCTCCTCCTCTTCCAGGCTCGTCTTCCTCTTCTTCCTCTCCGGAGAGCCGCTGCGTTCATTTCTGCACGGAAGAAACTTGTTTGAATCTCTTGACTTTTAACAGTGATTTGAGTAAATCGTTACAAACTGATAACTTAACACCTACTTTGACTCGATGTGGGACGCTAAGAAAGTGTCCCACGTCCGCTTTCTCCCGGGTTTTCTTTCCGCTTCTTCAGAATCATCAAGCTTCCTTTTCTTCCTCTCCGGTGAGGAATTGATTTGCTTTCTGCATTTTAAAGACATTTTTATTTTTACCTCATTAATTCTTACAGTGAGTTCTAAAACAGTACAGACAAGAGAATAACACCTACCTTAATCCAGAGGCTACAAAAGTGTCCCACGTCCGCTTTCTCCCGCGTTTTCTTTCGGCCTCAGAATCATCCCTTTTCCTTTTCTTTCTCTCCGGTGAATCCTTGACTCGCTTTCTGCATTTAAAGAATGTTTTTTTTTGTTTTTAACCACATTAATTGTAACAGTGAGCTTCAACCAGTAAAGACAAATATAATAACACCTACTTTGACTCGATGTGGGACGCTAAGAAAGTGTCCCACGTCCGCTTTCTCCCGCGTTTTCTTTCCGCTTCTTCAGAATCATCAAGCTTCCTTTTCTTCCTCTCCGGTGAGGAATTGATTTGCTTTCTGCATTTTAAGAAGGTTTTTTTTTGTAAGTGTAAAATGACGATAAAGGTTTCTATTCTATTGAAACAGTACAGACAAATATAATAACACCTACTTTGACTCGATGTGGGACGCTAAGAAAGTATCCCACGTCCGCTTTCTCCCGCGTTTTCTTTCGGCCTCAGAATCATCCCTTTTCCTTTTATTTCTCTCCGGTGAATCCTTGACTCGCTTTCTGCATTTAAAGAATATTTGTTTTAGTTTTTAACCACATTAATTGTAACAGTGAGCTTCAAACAGTAAAGACAAATATAATAACACCTACTTTGACTCGATGTGGGACGCTAAGAAAGTGTCCCACATCTGCTTTCTCCCGGGTTTTCTTTCCGCTTCTTCAGAATCATCAAGCTTCCTTTTCTTCCTCTCCGGTGAGGAATTGATTTGCTTTCTGCATTTTAAGAAGGTTTTTTTTTGTAAGTGAATAATGACGATAAAGGTTTCTATTATATTCAAACAGTACAGACAAATATAATATAACACCTACTTTGACTCGATGTGGGACGCTAAGAAAGTATCCCACGTCCGCTTTCTCCCGCGTTTTCTTTCGGCCTCAGAATCATCCCTTTTCCTTTTCTTTCTCTCCGGTGAATCCTTGACTCGCTTTCTGCATTTAAAGAATGTTTTTTTTTTGTTTTTAACCACATTAATTGTAACAGTGAGCTTCAAACAGTAAAGACAAATATAATAACACCTACTTTGACTCGATGTGGGACGCTAAGAAAGTGTCCCACGTCCGCTTTCTCCCGCGTTTTCTTTCCGCTTCTTCAGAATCATCAAGCTTCCTTTTCTTCCTCTCCGGTGAGGAATTGATTTGCTTTCTGCATTTTAAGAAGGTTTTTTTTTGTAAGTGTAAAATGACGATAAAGGTTTCTATTCTATTGAAACAGTACAGACAAATATAATAACACCTACTTTGACTCGATGTGGGACGCTAAGAAAGTATCCCACGTCCGCTTTCTCCCGCGTTTTCTTTCGGCCTCAGAATCATCCCTTTTCCTTTTATTTCTCTCCGGTGAATCCTTGACTCGCTTTCTGCATTTAAAGAATATTTGTTTTAGTTTTTAACCACATTAATTGTAACAGTGAGCTTCAAACAGTAAAGACAAATATAATAACACCTACTTTGACTCGATGTGGGACGCTAAGAAAGTGTCCCACATGCGCTTTCTCCCGGGTTTTCTTTCCGCTTCTTCAGAATCATCAAGCTTCCTTTTCTTCCTCTCCGGTGAGGAATTGATTTGCTTTCTGCATTTTAAGAAGGTTTTTTTTTTTGTAAGTGAATAATGACGATAAAGGTTTCTATTATATTCAAACAGTACAGACAAATATAATATAACACCTACTTTGACTCGATGTGGGACGCTAAGAAAGTATCCCACGTCCGCTTTCTCCCGCGTTTTCTTTCGGCCTCAGAATCATCCCTTTTCCTTTTCTTTCTCTCCGGTGAATCCTTGACTCGCTTTCTGCATTTAAAGAATGTTTTTTTTTAGTTTTTAACCACATTAATTGTAACAGTGAGCTTCAAACAGTAAAGACAAATATAATAACACCTACTTTGACTCGATGTGGGACGCTAAGAAAGTATCCCACGTCCGCTTTCTCCCGCGTTTTCTTTCGGCCTCAGAATCATCCCTTTTGATTTTCTTGGTCTCCGGTGAGCCCTTGACTCGCTTTCTGCATTTTAAAGACATTTTTATGTTTACCTCATTAATTCTTACAGTGAGTTCTAAAACAGTACAGACAAGAGAATAACACCTACCTTAATCCAGAGGCTACAAAAGTGTCCCACGTCCGCTTTCTCCCGCGTTTTCTTTCGGCCTCAGAATCATCCCTTTTCCTTTTCTTTCTCTCCGGTGAATCCTTGACTCGCTTTCTGCATTTAAAGAAATTTTTTTTTTGTTTTTAACCACATTAATTGTAACAGTGAGCTTCAAACAGTAAAGACAAATATAATAACACCTACTTTGACTCGATGTGGGACGCTAAGAAAGTATCCCACGTCCGCTTTCTCCCGCGTTTTCTTTCGCCCTCAGAATCATCCCTTTTGATTTTCTTGCTCTCCGGTGAGCCCTTGACTCGCTTTCTGCAAGACATTTTTATTTTTACCTCATTAATTCTTACAGTGAGTTCTAAAACAGTACAGACAAGAGAATAACACCTACCTTAATCCAGAGGCTACAAAAGTGTCCCACGTCCGCTTTCTCCCCGGTTTTATTTCGGCCACACGGATCGTAGGCTCTGGATAAAAGGACAAAGCAAAGGTCAATCAAAAACTGATTAAATGAATCACCAGATTCTTAGATTCATCCTCCTGTGAAACATCCCCTCTTAGTTTCAGATTTAAGATATCTGTTGCAACAGCTGTGTGTAAGTATAAAATACTCACTATTATTTATGAACAGTTGCCTACTTTTTGGTGTCTGGATGATTTCTGTGTTCCTGCTCTCGCTCGATGGTCTGTCTCTCTCCGGGTTGCTGCATTGACAAAAAAACGGGTTTTAATATCTCCAATTATAACTGCAAATATCATAATATAACAAAAATAATTATTGCGTTAATTCTTTTCTTTAAACAATATTTAGAAATGTTGTGTTAAGATATGCAAACAAGGCATTATATCCTTTCAAATGAGTTAGTTTGTTTACATTTTCTTGAACACAAATCTTTCATTATTAAGTAAAACCAAAACATTGACATATTAAATTCAAAGGTTTAACTAAAGGAATATCCATTAGTATCACTACATAAATCAGAACACACTCTCTAAAGCCATACAATAAATCACATTTTTGATCAATAAACTACACAAACATCTGTAAAAACTTTCTAGAAAATGGCTTTTAAAGATGTGTAAAGTAAAAATGTATGTACAGACGTTTTGCAAGACACTGCAGGAAACAATATTTGTTGTATTACAAGATGTGTAAATATACAAACAAATGCATTTATATGAAGTAAATGAAACACTTCTGTGTGTAATTTGCACGTTTTCTCTACTACACTGATCGAAGACATGTAATAGAAGAAATGTCCTAAAATGGACCTGTGTGTGTACATAAAGATCTTCTGTCCTACAACACTTACCTGTCGTCACCGCGGGGTTTTCTCCTCGATGATTTCCTCAGCGCCTTCCTCCCGGTTCTCTCTTGTTGGCAGGGTGGAGCCGCAGTGCTAACCTGCAGTGGCGGCGACACAGGCTTTACAGCAACAGGCGATTGAGGAGGGGGTTGTTGTTGTTGTTGACTCTCTTCATCGTTTATGGAGAGGCTGTCCGATACCTGGGACGAGATGCCCAGGATGAGGGGGTGTTCTTGGGTCCTGAACCAGGCGGGGGGGCCCTCTGCTCCGCTGATGGAGGGCGACAGGTTCATCTGACCCCCGTCAAAGCCCTCACTCTGATCCAGGCAGACCTCCATCTTTTCACAGCTGGATTTCACGCTGAAAAGACGAAGAAAAAACATTGTTAAAACCAACGTTCCGAATCAGGAACCCTTTACAGTACTGATAGTTAGTCTTTTTTGCATGTATTTCAGTTATTTCTGAACTATTGTGTCACTTGCACATCTCTCTTGCACTATTTTTACATTATCTTTACGTCTTCAGTTTGTTGCAGTGTCAAAGAAGCCTTGGATTTAGGATTTTAGTTCTCAGAACTACACTTTTACTATTGTGCAGACGACAATCAAGTCTTTTAAATCGCATCAGAATCAAAAGTAAATAATAAGATAATGCATTAGACCCAGTCAGCGTGATGCGGCCTCTCTATCTTGTTGCAGATATGTTAAAACAGTTGTAATGAGGACTCACTAGAAGCTGTTCTGGTGGTTTTGAGCGAGGTGGTTCAAGGTGATGAAGGGATGCTGAAGAAGCTCGCTGGGGGAAATCCTCCGATCGATGTCCAGGTGAAGCGTCTTCTTCAGCAGATCCAGGAACTCCTGCCGGTCTTCAGTTTCTGCCGCGGTGTCTTCGTCCAACAGGTGGCGGGGGGGTTTTAACTGAATCAGAACAAACCAGGAACATTATAGTTAAACCTCTATTCATCTCGGTGGATCATGGAAACAGATTTACGGCAGATGTTCTCAGCTCGTTTTCAAATAGTATTTCTTACCATTATTATATCATTCAGCGAGTTGAATTGTCCGGCGCTTGTGTTGGTTTCTCCAGACTGCTGAACGTTCTAAAGATAAATGATATAGGATTAGGTAACCTGTCTCAAAAGGAAATTAAAAACAGTAAGATATTTTAGTTTAAAAGCAACTCAGTGCTGGTACCTTCAATCTCCAACGACGTCTCCTGTCCTTCTTTCTATAATGGAAAAACCAACGCGTTTTGACGCCTCTGTACATGAGACGAGCCGGAGGATGACCCTGAGTCTGCACTATATGTCGCAGCTGTTGACAAAACACAAAAGAAAAAGTCAGTTACATTTGTACGGAAGAGGATTAGGGCTACATGATTTTTGGGAGGATTTAAAAAAAAAAAAGTTGTTCTGAGAAAAAACTCAGAATTCTGACTTTTTTCTCAGAATTCTGAGAAAAAAGTCAGAATTTTTTTTCTCCCAAAAAAAAGATTTTTTTTTTTCAAATCCTCACAAAAAAAAAATGTATGTGGCCCTAATCCTCTTCCGTACACTTGCATCAATATTTTCTTTAATAGTTTCACTACAAATATCATAGAAGTGCTTCAGAAAAGTTTACAAAAAGCCAACGTTTTACGCAGTTACAGTATCTCCCTTTTTAAAGAGGCCCTACTTTGCTTTTTTGGGGTTTCCCACCGTTTTGTTTTGCATTTTATGGTGAAATACACACATTTGCTCTCTTGCACAGAGGGCACAGATCGATACGTCTCTGATGTCTGCGCATAAAGTATATTTCTATAACCAGAAAGTGATTAGCTTAGCTTAGCATAAGTAGGGAAACAGCCTGGATCTTGCAAAAAAAAGTTACACTATAAAACCACGGATAGTTGCTTTTACATTCTGTGCATCAAAGTGCCTCAGTGCGTGCTATAATAAAGATTAAGACATTTGAACCCTCAGCTACAGAGTCTGTTCTTCATGCACCGCCATTTTGATGTGGCATTGATGTAGTACGATGCAGGGAAGAACTACAAACTATTTAGGCTTGGATTTCTCTCGTTAGTCAGGTCATGCTCTCTGAATGCCTTGTTCTATTAGCTTGTATCGCAAACTAACTACATTTGTAACCGCGGAAATAGCAAATGAGCAAAGTGTTTCTCAATTAACTACATTTACTATCAACACTGATTTGGACTCCAACATAAAAGGTGGAGGATTTTAAGTAAAAAGTGTTTGTTAGTGAGAGAGCAAGGCTAGCGGTTTGTAGCTGCGGTCAGTCTTTATGCTAAGCTAAGCTACTGGATAATAAACACATACATTTGAGCGTGGTATTGATCTAACTCCTGGAAAGAAAGTGAAATAAATGTTTCTTAAAGACACTGTTTGAGCCACCACGACTAATATAAGGTGTGTATCCTACTGTTTATCCCTTCTACATAATAAATATAAGCTTCACAGTATTGTTACACCCACCATTTCGTGCTCGGTGTCTCCAGGGTACAGCACAGCGCCCGTGAACAGCTCCGCGGCGATGCAGCCCAGAGACCACATGTCGATGGCTGACGTTATGGGGAATCCTAGGATAATCTCCGGAGACCTTAGAAAAGACAAATAAACATATATCGTTTTAGTTTTGAGTAATTTCACAATTTAGTTTGCTATTTAACTTCTTAAATATTAAAAGGTCCCCTATTGTACAGTTTTTCATCAATATATCACAGGTCTCAGATATATACAGAGCCTGTCCCTGATTGGCTGGAACACCAAACAGATCATTGCAGCATTACCCATAATCCCCTCTGTTTCAGCCCTGTTTCAAAAGTGCTGATTCTCTGTCTGTGACTTTAGATGAAAATAAGGAGCCCCTCCCCACGCCCCTCTGAGAGACATTTGGTTACAAAGAACTCAATGGTGCTCTAGGAGGAGATTCAGGTGATAAGGGGGGGGGTTACCTTGGTTGGTGATTGGCTAATGGTTACTCAAGCCAAAACATCGTTATGACATCACAAAGTGGCCAAAATCTGATCAGCTCATTTTCAGACAGGTTTTTATAGAAATGGATCAAAAAGAGAGAGAATCTTTGTTCCTGAAACTTTCAGAGTCTCTTTACACAGAGGGGACACATGGTGATGTAGAAGAGACATGAAGAAGAGGGGACACATGTTGATGTAGAAGATACATGAAGAAGAGGGGACACATGGTGATGTAGAAGAGACATGAAGAAGAGGGGACACATGTTGATGTAGAAGATACATGAAGAAGAGGGGACACATGTTGATGTAGAAGAGACATGAAGAAGAGGGGACACATGTTGATGTAGAAGAGACATGAAGAAGAGGGGACACATGTTGATGTAGAAGAGACATGAAGAAGAGGGGACACATGTTGATGTAGAAGAGACATGAAGAAGAGGGGACACATGTTGATGTAGAAGAGACATGAAGAAGAGGGGACACATGTTGATGTAGAAGAGACATGAAGAAGAGGGGACACATGTTGATGTAGAAGAGACATGAAGAAGAGGGGACACATGTTGATGTAGAAGAGACATGAAGAAGAGGGGACACATGTTGATGTAGAAGAGACATGAAGAAGAGGGGACACATGTTGATGTAGAAGAGACATGAAGAAGAGGGGACACATGTTGATGTAGAAGAGACATGGAGAAGAGGGGACACATGTTGATGTAGAAGAGACATGAAGAAGTGGATTATTTTGCATAATAGGTGACCTGTAAATCTTCTCCACCCGCTGCCGGTTTCTCACCTGTAATGTCGTGTCTGCATGTAGTCGCCCAGCTCAGACTTAGCGACGTGACACGCCACGCCGAAGTCGATGACCTTGATTCTCCACGGCTGCTTCCCGTGGTCCAGCAGCATGATGTTCTCCGGCTTCAGGTCCGTGTGCACGACTCCCAGACTCTGGAGCAGCTGCAGCGTTACGGAAACCTGAAATATAAGATCGCGAATAAGTCTTTATGCTAAGCTAAGCTACTGGATAATAAACACACATTTGAGCGTGGTATTGATCTAACTCCTGGAAAGAAACTGAAATTAAATGTTTCTTAAAGATATTGTTTAAGCTACCACGACTAATATAAAGTGTTTGCATAATTGTGTGCGTGTGTATCCCTTCTACATAATAAATTAAAGTTTTTAAGTATTGCTACACCCACCATTTTGTATAATCAGTTGCAAAAATGTTGCTTAATTCTTTCAGGCAGGATATTTCTTATCAGTTCTGTGGAAATGTTCAGTTGTTTTTCTATGTGTCTGTGGAGCATCTAGCGTACCTGGTACAGGATGGGGCGGATTTCGTCCAGCTCCAGCGAGCGGTGAGGCTTCTGATAGAGGAACTCAAACAGACTCATGTCCAGGATCTCCAACTCCAGACAGACGTGTTCGCCGTACACAAACACATCGTTGAACGTCACAAAGTTAAACCTGTCGGAGTCAAACGCTCTGAGCTCTTCCATTATCTCTATCTGGGGAACAAACGATTGCATGTTGAGAAAATATATCTTCACAGGGCTGGATGAAATACAGTTAAAATGATGATGGACGTCCATTTGAAGTATTAATAACATAAGAAGTAGACATCAGTATGTCTACCTAGAAGGTCATTAGTAAGGTTTTGTGTTTACACCTCACCCATTTTATCCATTCTTCTTTAAGTATATTAACTTGATTTCCAATTGTCATGCCCATTTTATACATTGCTTTTACAAGTTATATAGTTAATTATTGCAACTCTAATAACTAGGAATAAGTGACAATCTTTATTTCTTGATGTTTTCTGGTGTTTTTTAGCAGGATATTTGGGGTTTTATCTACAGAAATACCCCAAAAAGCACATTATCTCCAGGATTTTGAAGTTCAATTAGTATTTATTTCACTTTTAGTTGTGTTAAAGTATTAAATAATAATCTTCCACATATATTATTCCCAAGAATAAGATGTATTTTGAATGTTTCTGCTCTTTACTTCCCAGTAGGTTGATGATATAATGCAGAAGGCTAACTGGATGGCTGATCACAACCAAATCAATTTGTTTGTACGAAGCGATGAGTCAGACATCTTACTGCATGTTATACGGTGGTTATAACTTATAATACATCTATTAATAAGTAAAGAAATGGGAATTGGGGAAACCATAGATGTGATCAGAGTTGTTCCCTACCTCATTCTTTGCCTCTGGTGTTAGGTCCTTTCCCTTCGCGATCTTCACAGCCACCGTCCTGTTGGTGGCCATCTTTAAGCACTTTACTACTTTCCCAAAGGTGCCCTCCCCCAAAAAGGACTGGATCAGGTATTGGGAGGAGGGGGAGGAGAGGACACCCATGGGTTTGCACACTCCCCCTGAAGGAAAGCAGCATGAGGATGAGGAGGAGGAGGTGGAGGAGGTGTTCGTCTCTGCGTCAGGTGACGGAGTTGAGTTGGGGTCTCGATAAGACTACAGGAGGAAGAAGAAAGTGATTAACACATGAAGTCACATTTTGTCTCATCAAAAAAGTCTTTCTGAACTATACAAAACTAAAATATATCAAAAAGTCAATACAAATGTTGGCTGATTTCACAATTTGGACGATTCAATTCGTGCTTGAGCTATTTTTCTACTAGTTTGAACATCTCAAAATGACATTTTACTGCTTTTTTGATAAGAATAAACACATTATTTGTTCATTTATAAGCCTTAACTGGGATTCAAGATGGATTGGAAGTTGTTAACTCATCTTGTTAGTGAAATATATTAACATATTACTAAAAAACAAGCGCTCTAATGTACAGTCAATGCCAAAAAAGTGGGACTCATTGACAATTCGGATGTTTCTTTACTTGCTCCTGCTATTTTTTTGTTTGTTTTTAACGTCTTTGTTAACAAAAACAACATTCAAATTACATTTAGCTGCTTTTTTTGATAAGACTAAACTGAATTTGATGAATTAAAAAACCTAAAATAAGGTGCAAGATGAAGTAGAAGTTGTTAAATCTTCTTGTTAGTGAAATATATCAACTTATTGGTAAATATAAGCACTTTACTGAACACTTAATGTGATACAATGGGATTATAAGAATATATTTTAACATAAAATCGAATTTCTTTGTAAGAAAACTATTCTTTTTATGTATTTACTACCAGATTTGATCAACTCACCATGTTGTCACTCATGTTACTAATCGTGTTTGAAAGTTTTGTTGAGATTAACAAAGTTGAAGTTTCTCCTGGTTGTGTTAACCCGACTGAAGACAGAGTCCAGGTCCAGCAGGAAGCTTCTTTCTCCTGAACATTCCACGGCTTTGTTACATCACATTCCAAATGGAATCTTAGTTTGGAATGTTCCGGTTGTCATGGCATCGAATAATTCTAAATTAGAACAATGGTGGCTAAAGGTTTTGGAATGTTTATATATCGCTGCTAACAAACAATAAAATGACAATTAATAACTATTTGTAATTAATAACTGTGCGACTGTGGCTGCGAGGGAGTGCGTTTGTTTCCACCAGAAGGTTATGGGTTAGATCTCAGCATTGGCACTTTGTGTTTTTATTAGTGCTGTCAAAATTATCGCGTTAACGGCGGTAATTAATTTTTTGAATTAATTGCGTTAAAATATTTAACGCATTTAACGCATGTGCAGAATGGCCCGCCCCATACGTGCCACCAGTCAGGGGCGGACTGGCCATCTGTAGGATCTGGAGAACCACAGAACGGCCGGTCGTCAAGGTCCGTTGACGGCCGGCCGGCCCTTTAAAAAAAAAATTGTTTAACGTCATCATTTAAATTGCACTGACGGCCGACAGAGGGCGACAGCGGCCGCTAATGCAGTTGTGTGGTTCTTATCTGTCAAATAATCACACACGAAGAAGAAAAAAGACCGGCCACACGAAGCGAAGGGATTAGACGCCGCGGCAGACAGGGAGAATGAAAAAACATGGATACAAATCAAAGAAAACAAAAATAAAAAGGTGGGGCCGAGAAGGCAAGAGAGAAAAAGGTGAAGTCACTCGCAGGTGAAGCATATCAATGTCGCAAATTGACAGACCTTTTTGGCAGCAGCGCTGCTACAAGCACTATCATCAGCAGCTTAGAACAAGTGCAAGATGATGAAGAGAATGATGAGGGCGCGAGTTCAGATATACAGCCAGCCTCCTGCGTTCATGATGAGGGACAGAGTTGAGCTGGTGGAAGAACCATCTCAACTGGCACATACAAGTGCAGAGCAAGAGGTGGGTGAGAATTATCCCTTGAACTCAGTGGCGTTTTCTCCTGGAGGCCAAGGGAAGCCAGGCTTCCCCTGTTTTTTTGGATTGTAGTTATAATAAATAAATAAAAACACTTTGTTTAGTTTCGGTAATTATTCTGCCGGCCCATCTCTCCCCCATTCTCATTGAGTATTTTACAAAGAGTGAAACAGCGCCCCTCTAGATGTTATGATGAAACAGTATTGCACTCTCTGTTGCGAGAGGAGGCTAGCCAAAATTGGCTTCCCTTGTTGAAAATAAATTGAGGGATTGACCAATCAGATGAGGCTCACTCATGCCTCACAATCCAATCAAATCGCATCAACTTCAGTTCGTACCGTAACAATTAGCTTTATTTAGCAATTATGGAGGGTGGAGATTTGGAGTATTTCATCAAAAATAATTGCACTAAACTTCTGCTACAGCAGCAACTAAAAATGTAATCTGATGACAGGCCAATGCCCAAACTGGAGCTGTGTACAGAGAGGAAAAAAGGAGCGAATCGGACGTAAAACTTTAAATAATAAACAGCGGATTTCTAACATTTGACATTTCATGTGGCCGGACTGGGTCAGTTTCCAGGGCTGAATTTTAGTCCCAGTCCGCCCCTGCCACCAGTGGCAGCGCCAGGGTATGGCTGGGGTAGGCTACACCCATACCAAGAAATGGCTTAGCCCCACCATGAAAAATGATGTTAAAGTAAGCAAAATAAAGTCTGCCAACTCGCACGGAGAATATTTTTGCTGTAGTTACTACAGCAAAAGTATTCTCCATCGGGAGTTCCTGCAACAACACCACGCCGTTATCAAAGATGTTCTATTGAGAAGACGATCACTACGTGACAAAAGTTTTCAAAACCGTGGCTACTGAAATCAATCTTACTAACTGCTGTCTGTGCAATTTACTCCGCGCGAGTTGGCAGACTTTATTTTGCTTCCTTTAACATCATTTTTCATGGTGGGGCTAAGCCATTTCTTGGTATGGGTGTAGCCTACCCCAGCCATACCCTGGTGCTGCCACTGGTGGCACGTATGGGGCGGGCCATTCTGCACATGCGTTAAATGCGTTAAATATTTTAACGCAATTAATTCAAAAAATTAATTACCGCCGTTAACGCGATAATTTTGACAGCACTAATATATATATATATATATATTAGCTTTACGAATATAATAGTTTTTTATGGACAACTTTACCATTCAATCTCGTCCAACTGATTTTGCTGCCGTCACTGCTCGGCTCTTGGCAGTTCAGGCATTTATCAAACCTGGCAACCCCGGGTTTCCTGGCAGCTGTCAATCAAAGTCCAGTGGCTCCGCCCCAAAGTGCCAGAAACTTTTCACGCGCGCGTAGACAGACTCCGCGAGGCTGACACTCCCGCGAGCAAGCAAGAGGGCTGTCTCTCTCGCGAGCAAGCGCAGAGCTGCTCGCGGGCGCAGAGCCGCTCGCGGGCGCAGAGCCGCTCGCGGGGGCAGAGCCGCTCGCGGGGGTTTAATCTGCGCGCGAGGGTCATTTTATGCGCGTGTAAAAGCACATTTTCCGCTCGTGAGTAGCTTGTTTTACGTGCGAGAATATTGACCCAAATCTGACTCCATAGCGTGTGTCACACGCCAGATGCGTGAGAGTTGGCAACCCTGTGTTATTGGTTGCTTGTCCTGGCATTAGCAACTCTGACGCTCCCACTGTCGTATGGAGCTGCTGGGGGGTGCTGGGAGGGATCGAGTGTAAGCGATGGCTCTTAAGGCCCTGACACACGTACCCGATTTTGGGAGTCAGAGGCCGTCAGAGGCAGTCGGGCATTCGTGGCGCCCTACTCAGGTTGGTGTTTCCCGCACCGTTGTTGCTTTACGGCACATTTTCACACCTCCCACGGCCGATTCAACATGTTGAATCGGCCAAAGAAAGTCGGCCAAAGAAATCACTCTGATTGGCTGTTGCCTCTTTTGAATGACGAACACACTACCGCTGCCTGCTGGTAAGGACAGTTATTGCCACTCGTCGACTGAAGTCTTTGCCGTGTGTTCATAGGCGGGCGGCGTAGCCTACGCCGCCTTAATGCACGGGCTGACCTGGGCTGAAGCCCAGGGGCCTACGGAGATCGGGGGCCTATCATGAGCCAATAAAAAAAATATATATATATAAAATATATATATTCAAAACAATTTTTTTCGTGAGTAGCTTGTTTTACGTGCGAGAATATTGACCCAAATCTGACTCCATAGCGTGTGTCACACGCCAGATGCGTGAGAGTTGGCAACCCTGTGTTATTGGTTGCTTGTCCTGGCATTAGCAACTCTGACGCTCCCACTGTCGTATGGAGCTGCTGGGGGGTGCTGGGAGGGATCGAGTGTAAGCGATGGCTCTTAAGGCCCTGACACACGTACCCGATTTTGGGAGTCAGAGGCCGTCAGAGGCAGTCGGGCATTCGTGGCGCCCTACTCAGGTTGGTGTTTCCCGCACCGTTGTTGCTTTACGGCACATTTTCACACCTCCCACAGCCGATTCAACATGTTGAATCGGCCAAAGAAAGTCGGCCAAAGAAATCACTCTGATTGGCTGTTGCCTCTTTTGAATGACGAACACACTACCGCTGCCTGCTGGTAAGGACAGTTATTGCCACTCGTCGACTGAAGTCTTTGCCGTGTGTTCATAGGCGGGCGGCGTAGCCTACGCCGCCTTAATGAACGGGCTGACCTGGGCTGAAGCCCAGGGGCCTACGGAGATCGGGGGCCTATCATGAGCCAATAAAAAAATATATATATTCAAAACAATTTTTTTTTTATTTCGGGTGTTTTAAAAAAAAAAAATCAGAATATTAAACTTTTATTTCCAAAATCACACGATAAATACATTTTTGAAGCTTGTAAAGGGAAGAAGACAGCTCTCCCTCGCCACTCTGCTGTTCCACAGCGCCGCTTCCCCTCCCTCCGCTGAAATTATTAATGTAAGGCGTATAGTAATCATAGATAACACGGCAGGGTCCGTTACAGTTTGTTTTCATCTGGTTTCAAATAAACAAAGTCTTGGCTTTCAGAATATTAAACTTGTTTCGGCAAATTCAGATGATAAATACAACTTTGAAGCTTGTAACGGCATAATTACAAGCGGAGAACAGAGTAACTTGAAACAGCCAGTGTTTCTCGTGAGTGTTTCCCCGGAAAACAAACACAATACACACAAACGCAAAAATACACAAACACACACGTATACACACACACACACACACACTCGCGAGCTTCCCCCGGACCAGTAATCCAAACGAAAATATCTTCCCTCCATACTATTTTGATCATTTGCTCCGCTAATCAATCAGATCGATGGATTCCAGAGATTTTTCTCAAAAATGATGACTCCGTAACAGTCAGTGGGCACCACTTAACAGCCAATCAGAATGAGAGTATGCTTCACATGTGATTTACTCAAATTGCGAGTGATTGAGTGACAGATGAAGGTTGTTTAGGAGAAAATGTCAGAGAAGAAAAAGTTTGAGAGTGGCGCTCGGAAAAGGAAATTGTTGAGGGAAAAGGAGTTTCGAGACAAGCAGCTATTACAAAACATGTCGAAGCTTACAGGTTATTTTAAACCTGTAGGCCAGAATGAGGAGGAAGGACAGATTAGTTCTGTACCGAGCGGCAGCGGTGCCTGTGTCGGTACCATATGTGTTCGGGGTACCATATGTGTTCGGGGTCCGTCTCTTACCAATGACGTCATGACGTCACGCATTGTGATTGCCTGTACGGTAATTTATCGGTAATTTCGATGTATATTTCCATTGAAAATGCTAACCGCTAGCCGCAAAGCTAGCATCGCAGCCACTGCTCCATTTTCGGAGATTTTGCACACGTTTTTCACAAACATTTTCACACGCTAGGAGTATGGGAGTACTTCCATTCGCTTCGTCTTGGTCTGTAGATGTGATTTGATGTG